CTCTCTCTCTCTCTCTCTCTCTCTCTAAATACAATTCTTTAAAATTCGATTAATTATTTCCCGAAAATTCGTCAAACTTCTGATACCGCTTTCCAAAAAAATCGATAACAAAAAATTATATACTTGATAGCACTCCCCAGGAAATTCAACCCCTACTTTATGTACAATTCTTTGAGATTCGGTCATTCGGAACTGGTTTTTAAAAAGATCGGTAATAAAAAATAGTACACTTTATAGCACTCCCCGGGAAATTCTACCCCTACTTCATGTATAATTCTTTGACATTTAATCAATTATTTCCCGAACAATTGAAAGAATTAAAAAAACCGATTTCCAAAAAAATCGTTAACAAAAACTGAACACATTATGGCGCTCGCCGTAAAATTCTACCCCTACTTTATATACAATTCTTTCAGATTCGGTCAATTAATTCTCGAAAGATTGAAAAAATTTCGATACCGGCTTCCAAAAGATCGGTAATGAAAAATTATACACTTCATAGCACTCCCCGAAAAATTCTACCCCTGTTTGATCTACAATTCTTTGAAATTCGGTGAATTATTTCCCGAAAAATTAGAAAAATTAGAAAAACCGGTTTCCAGAAAATCGATAACAAAAAACTATACACATAGTGGCACTCCCCGGAAAATTTTACCCCTATTTCATATAATTTTGGTAAAAATTATTTGAAAAAATTTCGATACCGGCTTCCAAAAAATCGGTAACGAAAAATTATACACTTCATAGTACTCCTCGGAAAATTCTACCCCTGTTTGATCTATAATTTGTTGAGATTTGATCAATTATTTTTCGAAAAATAGGAAAAGTTTAAAAAATCGGTTTCCAGAAAATCGGTAACAAAAAACTATACACACAGTGGCACTCCCCGGAAAATTCTACCCCTATTTTATATACTTTTGGTAAAAATTCGGTTCAGGGGTTTGGCCTGGGCGTTGATGAGTCAGTCAGTCAGTCAGTCAAGACAGTAGTGAAAAAAACACATTTTACCCCTTTTCACCCTCTTAGGGGTGGAATTTCTAAAAATCCTTTCTTAGTGGGTGCTTACGTCATGAGAGGAATACACCCTCCAAATTTCAAGTCTCTAGGTTCAGGGGTTTGGCCTGGGCGTTGATGAGTCAGTCAGTCAGTCAGTCAGTCAGTCAGTCAGTCAGTCAGTCAGTCAGTCAGGACATCTTCCTTTATAGATATAGATATATATATATATATGTATATATTAAATAATTATGTACATTTAACCGCAACATATTTGCTTATTTTATTTTTATTGCGGTCCAACATACAGCCTACATTTAATTTACTATAAATGTTTTCAATTCCCCGTTCAATTTACATGATCCTCGATATGTACATACATTACACTATTTAATTTCTCTTTTTTTTTCTTTTCCATGTAAATTTTTTATTAATAACGATTCTGTAATAATCCGAGCAGGATGTCAAGTTAATTTAGATTCTTTTTCCTCAAAATTCTGCTCGATGACCTCCGTACCATTGTAACACACCCGCGCCTTTCCCACGCACGTATGTACACCTCACACACAACACATGCATATATAATGATTTACCTACTTCTCTGTTGTAATCATAACTCTGCTTAATTCTATTAGATTTTTTCTTTTTTAATAAATGTTTAAATGCTTTTATTATTAATAAATGTATATTAATTGTAAAGAAATACCATTTATTTCTTAGAATAAGACCTCGCCCTCAGCTCCTTTGCTCTCTCTGAAATCGCACACGGTCCGATCCCTGGTTATATGGATTAATTTCCTTGACCAAAAATAGGACCACGAGTGCACGAAACTCACAGTAAGCGTAATAGCGTCCTTTCTGGACGTTGACTCATGACTGGAGTTTCCCGAAACGTGCATTTGTCTCGAGGCACGCGCCTTTTCCAGTGTGCATACCCAAGATACGATAAGGTCTAGTTAAGTATTCCTATCTCCCCTCCTCAAGATAGCCTTTCCCTTGCTATCCGTCAAAAATTAACATTCCACAATTTCTGGGGTTTGACGTAACAAAATAGCTCATGAGAGGTTTCACGGACTATAGGATGGGGTGATATAGTCAGCATCCCGCCTGGCCAATTTACCCTCGGAATCGGAAAAAGATCTTGTTACTCATTGGAGTAACAACTTATTTGTGTATAAGAGTAAAACGTCAGTTTTGCAGGGATAAACATATAATATAATTACAACATTTTAATGACAACATTATAACGTTTAACTATTTCCAGCATTGCTATGTGAAAGCTTAAATAATATTTTGCAAATATTCTGAAGCAATTGTGACTATATTGGTTTGTTCATATTTCTATAATATTTTATAAGTACGGCATTTTCCGCCAACTAACCCTAATAAATTAAATTTGATTATTATTTTAATTTATTATTATATTACAATTTTGTACGATTCTTGCAATCTCATGATAAAGCACGGAAAGTAATGATCGGCGAAGCTATCGCGGACACAACTCTCCGAATTTTCACGAAGGTCAACAATATTTCAACTTTTGCTTTGGACGCAATCGTGCCGGGCTCGCGTCGTAAATACAAAAGGACAATTGTCTTTCGAATCTTCATGTTGCACGTCGAGTAGGGTCGACTTTCAACAACATCCGGCTATACATTATCTTCCAATGTCACAAGCGCGGATATCTATTCAGCGCGCGACAGCAAAGACGAGCTGGTTCCTTCTCGTAACAAACGATAAGTCGATAAATCTCGACGCGTCGGCTAGCAAAGGCTATCCCTTACGCCGGCAAAGAATGCGAGAGAGATATTAAGCGTGTTCTTTCTAAGAAATTCACGTGGTCGCGTATTTGCGAGCTCACTGACGTGGTCCTGGATAGTCGCGACAGGAGCGCGTGGGTGTCCACAGGAGCATCGTCCTACGCGGCGGTATCCATTTCGGGATACCGTATTCCTGCAGGGTGCGTTAACCTTTCTCTCCCCGTTCGGCCTGATCCCGAATCTCTGCCGAGGGAAAGAGAGAAGGTGAGAGAGGACCGAGATACCGGCAAGCCTTACAGCGGCTCGTTAGAGTCATTGTGCGCTGTTTCGTCGCAACTCGGTTCGACGAACCGGGTCGACGAACCGGGTCGACGCGACGCGCTGGATGAGATACATTTAATCCTTTCGGCTCTACTCTATTTGTTAGAGAGATCCGAACAAAGATCTGAATATTTCATGAGTTGTTTTTACATGACTATAAACAGTATACTTACTTAGTGTGGTGTGAGCCAAATTTGAGATTCGGATTGTCACGACAAAATCCAAACCGGAAAAAATAGAAAAAGGACTGGTTTTCTTTATACTGTAGTAGTATTTATTAATGTTTCACCTTCTGCTGCTTACATAGCAGTTTAGCCTGCCAGATTTTACACAACTAAATAATACATTTGTCAAATTCTGTTTCCGGTTTTTACATTTCGCTGTTACGATCCTGCTTATAAACTACTCGGACAATGCTTATTTTATGAATTTTACATTTGAACTATTTACTCTTTTCTTTCTCCATTTCTAATCTTATCTCTTTCAAACCTTTCATCCATCCATACCCTGGCTCCATCATCACTCAGCATATCAATCATTCTTCCTTTCCAACTCTCTACTTTTTCACATCTCGTACTTATATGTCGCATATCTTCGTTTTCTTTCCCGCATAGTCTACATTTTCTCCATTCCTCATTCATCCAATACATATTCCCTCTTGTCTCATTTCCACACCTCATTCTCGCTATTAGGCTTATCTTTTCCTTCCCTTTTCTGTGACCCCATCTTTGATATATCTAGGCAGCCATCCTATTTTGACATCTTTATAATCCTTACACGCTTTGAGTTTTCAATTTTTTCCGCTCTCTCCTGCATATCTACTTCTTTGTCTCTTGCCACCATGCAACCAATACCTTCATCTCCTATCTTTATCAGTTCTTCCTCGCAGTTCTTCCTCCCTTTTCTTCATACTGCATTACATGTATGGAATTCTTTCACTTAAGCATTTTAAATTAAACTTTAACTTCTAGGAAATGTGTTATTCAGCCTTCTTATATACATAGAGGAAAGTACCCGATTATGAGATACCATATATATTTTGTGTGATTGCCGGAAGTCTATGGGCTGCAGAATTGAAAAATATAGTAGGTTTATTTTGAAGGGAATTTAATAAGCTTTAAGATGCTGAAATGTAAAATTTAATTTAAATATTAATTTTGCTGAAAATTAAAAAAATGTGAAA